GTGTGTGTGTGTGTGTGTGTGTGTGTGTGTGTGTGTGTGTGTGTGTGTGTGTGTGTGTGTGTGTGTGTGCACACATACATACAGAGGACATGAAAAGATGGGAGTTGCCATACCAACTCTAACGAGACAAATCAATGAAGGTGGGCTATTATCAGCAGGAGAAAAAAAGCTTTTGTAGTGATAATCAGGATGGCCCATTTCAAACAGTTTACAAGAAGGTGTGAGTAACAGTAGGGGAGAAAAATTAGTATGGGGAAATAGTTTTTAGTTTGTGTAATGATCCATCCACTCCCAGTCTTTATTCAAGCCTAATTTAATGATGTCCAGTTTGCAAATTAATTCCAGTTCTGCAGTTTCTCGTTGGAGTCTGGTTTTGAAGTTTTTTTTGTTGAAGAATTGCGACTTTTAGGTCTGTAATTGAGTGTCCAGGGAGGCTGAAGTGTTCTCCAACTGGTTTTTGAATGTTATAATTCTTGACGTCTGATTTGTGTCCATTTATTCTTTTGTGTAGAGACTGTTCGGTTTGGCCAATGTTCATGGCAGAGGGGCATTGCTGGCACATGATGGCATATATCACATTGGTAGATGTGCAGGTGAACAAGCCCCTGATGGTGTGGCTGATGTGATTAGGTCCTACGATGGTGTCCCTTGAATAGATATATGGACAGAGTTGGCAAAGGGCTTTGTTGCAAGGATAGGTTCCTGGGTTAGTGTGTGTGTACCTATTGTATTTTCCACTTCATGCATCTGATGAAGTGAGTTTTTGCTCACAAAACTTATACCTAAATAAATTTGTTAGTCTTTAAGGTGCCACAAGTTCTCCTTGTTCTTTTTATTCAGAGTATTACTTGACACCACAGCAGAAATGCCTGAGTCCATATGTAGTCTTCCACCATAAGCACTGTGCATGGGAGAAGAACATTTGAAACAGCAGTGGCATCCCAGGGGTAAGGATCCAGGGTACATGTTTTTCAGAGTTAGCAGACTTTAGTTATTCTTAATTCTGCATCAGGAAAATGCGTTCTTTGCAAATATCCATGTTTGTAACAGCATTCAGTTGTTTTGTATAAAGTATCGAATGAGAGGCAGGAGTTAATAAATGTAAATACAAGAATTATTCAGCCTGTAAGTTAAATAACTTGGAGCCTGGCAACTGGTTTACCTTCTTTATTGCTTAGGAAATTGATTATTCCAAAAGCTCATCCTTTCATAGCATGCTAACCTAACCTATGGCAAGTTCTTTATACATAAGAAGTAATTTGGAGTGAGCCTGGAGTGAGTAATTTTATGATTCTGGAATTTAGGACATTGCAAAAGTTAAAATGTTGAGCATTCTTAATTCAACCATCTGAAGAGTAGCTTGATATTGAGAGGAATGTTTGTTTCAATTGACTAATCTTACTGCCTTCTTGGGTAATCTTTCCTGCATGTTTAAGTCTTTACTAACTAAGCTTCTTGGGGCAGGGACTATCTTTGTTCTATGTTTTTTACAGCATTGTGCGGTCCAGGTCTGTGACTAGAGCTCCCATGTGCTACAGTAATACAAATAATAAATAACCCATTCCTACTCCCACTCACACAGACCTGAGAACATAAATGTCTAAATTATGAAATTGCTGGCATTCAGCAGAGATGGGATACTGTTAGGGTTCCATTAGCTGGCCTTCTTTATTATATAGGCATTTTTTATATTTACATTTCATTTGTACTTGAATGATAACTGAACTTACTCAAAGGCCATCATGTGAATTACGAAGCTTAACATCTCTGTATAATGCAGTTGTTAACTTCATGTGCCTTATGAGGTTTTTATTTAATAAAAAAAAATCAAGTACATAATATGTAGGACTAATTCAATAGGGCATTGCATTATTAACCACTCCAAGAGGAGAATATACTCTGAAACCCCATGAAAACAGTGGCAATGAGCAAAGTTCTAGGGAGATATATCCGCTGTATAGCTTGCTGGACCTCAGCAGCAACACTGATCTGATATTATTTCCACGTAGAAGAGCCTGACAGCCTCCTAGTTTCAGGTTAGTTTATATGATACACCTCTACCCCGATATAACACTTATTTGGATATAATGCGGTAAAGCAGTGCTCCGGGGGAGCGGGGCTGCACACTCCGGTGGATCAAAGCAAGTTTGATATAACGCGGTTTCACCTATAACGCGGTAAGATTTTTTTGGCTCCCAAGGACAGCGTTCTATCGAGGTAGAGGTGTACCAACTCACTGCAAAATGGAGGTAGAAATTTGAGAGGGAAATGCAGTGACAATCTTAAAGAATATGTATTGCATATTCTCTTCAGAACCTGGCTGAGCCAAAGTATTTCTTTAATAATAATAATATAAAAAAAAAAGTTAAAACCTGAATCTAAGCTGTACAGGTTTTTTTTTTCTTTTTAATTCTAGGGAAAACTAGTCATTACACTTTCACATGTTATACATGCTTTTGTGACTTTTCCTTTGGCTTGTGTCTTCAGTGCAAAATTTGAATTCTTCCTAACCACTTAGCATTTTTTTTAAGTTGTAAAAATTTAAAAGGGCCCCACTTTTGTGGATACTGTCACTTGACAGCTGCATTTTGGAGTGAATACTTAGAATGCTACAGTTAGCTATGAGAAATGCTGAATGATCAACATGATCATTTTCTTTATCTAGTCTTACGAGACTGAACACATTACCTTCATACTGTGATTGCTTCTAACACTTGCAAACTATTCTGAAGGCCATTCAGTGTGAGGCATTTGAGCCTACCCTTAAATATTTATTTTTTCCATTCCTATTAATGTAACACACTTAATGCTTTTGTGTTGCTGATTTATAATTATCTTAGCACCAAAGTGATAAGTGGTGACTGGCTAAGAAGACTATGAAATAAACTAGTTTGTTGGGGAAATGCAATACCTTAATTATTAAAGTAAATCAACATTTGTTATAGTAAAATTGTCCAATATATTCATGCTTATTAGTCTTCTTCAGTATTAACTGATTTTCATACTAAAAATAAATTGGGTGTGGAGAACCTCTTAATGAGTTATTTAACTTAGTGGGGAAAAAGCCAAAATGGTATGCTGAAAACTTTAATCTTTTAAAATAAGATATTTTCTGCTGCTTATTGGCATGGATCCAACTCTCACGAACATCAATGGGAGTTGAATCAGAACTATAGTAAAATTGAATAATCCGGTGCTATAGTAGTACAATCAGGTTCGTATAATATGATTTGATACTTTTAAGTAATGCTCTTGAAATCTAAAATGAAGAATAAAGTATAGTATTTTCTCCACAGATATTACTTTCATGTCTGTCAAGCTACTCTAATACACCTGTTTCATAATAGTCATGTAAAAAGTAAAACCCTTTGCATTTTGCTGACAATAAAATAGCCTGGATTTTTGCCTCTTTTTGTAAAAGGTCTTATTTATTTAACCAATATAAAAAGATTTAATGTATAGTTTTTACAAAGGTGATAAATATTCTGTCCAAATTATAATAAAACAACTGGACAAACTTGTTTCTAATATTTGTTCTAAAATTATATTGTAGAAGAACTTGCCAGGTGTGCTCAACAGTGATGTGCCTACATGTTAAACAGTTCAGCTGGAAAAATTCAACTAGGGTGCTTGTAAGCAAGTTTGTGTATTCTGGCCAAATGCTTACAAAGCTCTACAGAAATATTCAATTTCAAAGTTAATTGTACAAAATGTGTATAAAAAATTGATAGGGGGGCTTGGGAACGATGGGTTATAAGGAGGTTTAGAAAAAACTTCTATTTCGGCAGCTCTTCAATGATGATCCGAGAGACTGAATTCCATCCTGTAGAAGCATCACCTCTTGGGTAATCTGCACAAGTACCAACCCAGATAGCAACATCCACCAACCCAGCGCTGATTCCTTCACACAGTCCTTCCACTGTTTAAAGACAAACGTATCTTATTTCAAATAATCAGTATCCCTTATTTCACTGATTTTTCTCCCCCCCCACCCCCATATCCTGACTTGTATAGTTAACATGCCAAAGAACAGCAGTTCAGTGCAACTCTGTATAGAAACGACATTAGTTAGGGTTAGTATGTTGCTGCTGTTTAAATCTTTGGGGGGGGGGGAGAGATAGTTTCTACCGAGGCCATGGTACTCTGGAAGACAATCTGCAGCCAAATGTTTTTTAAACCATTATACAAAGTTTTTAAAGTAATGTTATGATCTATAGAGCTAGTTTTTAACCATACACAGTTCCTTATTTCTGTTCACTTTTTCAACAGTCTCCATTGTAGTGGCAATGCTAATGGGAGACATGAATACAGTGGTAACAAACCCATTCTGATACTTCATGGAAAGGCCTACTATGGCCACACAGTGAGTTTACATGGATTTTCTTGTTACTGTAGCGAAATATTACCTCGGGGAGGAGAGAGAGAGAGTCAGAGACCTTCTGTCATAGACAAAAAGCTGAGCTGCTAACTTCCCATAACCTTGGGCCTCTTACAAGCAGCAGTTGTTCTCCTGTGAAATCTTCTAGCCTATTCTGCTGCGCTGTGGTGAATATTCTCTATGCTACAACATCTGGTAAGTTAGATGTTGCAAGCCTTTGGTTTTATATACAATTTCTCTCAGTATATGTTTATAATTCAAGGTATTAAGGGGACATATGGCGTAGGTATATTTTAGTTGTTACTCCCATTTTCCCCATATCATCATCTTTGATATTGAACAAGAACTGTTGTTGTGATTTGCCCCTTTCTTAGAAGAGGACATCATATAAGATGTGGATAACTAACTATTTCTGAATATGATTTGGTTTTAGCTTTTAAAGTGATAGGCTTCACTGGTAAAGATGGGTTTGTGTTGGAAACTCCAGCAGAAATTAGTCTGTCTTCCCAAGACTATTGCATGCAATTCCATACCCAATGCACATAACTGCACAAAAGACAATACAGGTCCAATAGATACACTGCCAACTTAAAAGGTGATATTCCAGTTTCACCAAAGCACTAGTGCTATTTAGTTATACTGCAGTTGGGCATAGTGTCACACATGCCATTTTTATCCTAATTTGAAGCAGCAGTAGTTGTTTAATAGATTCCTATTGAAGCTCAGTGGGTGGACTGGATAAGGTAAGTCTCTTCATCTCTAACTTCTTGAATTTACGTAAAGTATGACTAAAGCTAGTAAAACCGTAAAAATGGAGTGGCAGTAAACCCAAATCCACAAGAAAAACTGCAGTTACTGTATTTGTAATACTGATACTGAATTCTGACAAAGGTGGGGAAAATCATCAACTAGCAACTGTCCTTCTTTGCCTCCCCTTTATGGACCCTAGACTTCTAAATGGAGGGCCTTATGAGGTTCCCCGTGTCACTTGTTAACTGCATCCTTATCTTGAACTCCATTCCTAAGCACATGGCTTTGACATACATACCTGAAGAAGTGCGATGTATATTAATAGTTGAATTCAGCTCTGGGCTTCCTTGGTCTAAATAAATTATGGCTTCAATAGGAAGTGGCCCAGAGCATTCGGCTCCATTAAATGTAAAATACCACCGCTGGCAGCATGCATTTTTGCATTTGAGTCGAAGTGATCCACTGAAGAGAACTCTTAGAGCACTGTTAGAGCGCATCTTTGTGAATGTACATTCCTAAGGAAAATAAGAATGAATTGTTGGCTGTGGCTTTTGAATGCACTTCACTAATTCTTTTGAGAATACATTAATCACCTCTGTTCTCCCCCTTCATTTCCCTGCTCCTTTTATTAAAAAACAGCACCTGATAAGTAGGTCAATGCCCCAAAACACTGATCTGTGTTTCAAACACCCCAGAGGATAGGGGAATGTTGAGCTCCTATATTTTAATATGAGACCATGTATGCAGTCAAGTTAGGTATCTAAATATCTTTGGAGTTTTCCTTTCTTTCTTCTTTCTTTCCCCACACTCTCCTTCCTTGCAGGTAAGGATAGTGTTACCAGCTCTCTCAAACCAGTCTATACTCCACACAGAATGTTAGCCAGAAGAGGTTGATGAAAACATACAGGATTATCTTGATGCTGTACAAGGCGGATAAATTAGTTTTTAAAAAAAGTTTTAATAGGGATTATTTATTTAAACTAGATTTTCTAAAATTTAAATATTTGCTTTTTAAAATAATTATTTAAAATTATGACAAGTTATGTTAAAGCCTTCATTAACTATTTATTAAATATTTTAAAGTGATTTTAATATTAAGTTCTACATATTTGTTACCTAAGTTTTAAAGAACATCAAACCACTGGCTCAGCACATGGACATTAGAGTTTGCTGAGGTGTTAAACCAGCCTGTGACAACAGTAGCCTCTTCTGCAGGTGCAGAGAGAATTTTTTCTTCTTTACAGTTTATTCAACTAGTTCAATGACTTGTTCATTCAAAGTTAAGAAACTGATTGGAAGTTGAAAAAGCAGGAACCTGTTTTCCTTTTCCGATCTATGAATAAAAACTAGGTGTGAGAGGATGAGATCTCCTAGTTCTAAAATCTTGAAGGACGTGACCAGAAACAATCACTTCATTTACATAAGAACGGCCATACTGGGTCAGACCAAAGGTCCATTAAGCCCAGGATCCTGTCCTCTGACAGTGGCCAATGCCAGGTGCCCCAAAGTGAATGAACAGGTTATCATCAAGTGATCCATGCCCTGTCACCCAATCCCAGCTTGTGGCAAACAGAGGCTAGGGACACTATTCCTGCCCATCCTGGCTAATAGCCGTTGATGGACCTATCTTCCATGAATCTATCTAGCTCCCTTTTGAACCCTATTATAGTATTGGCCTTCACAACATCCTCTGGCAAGGAGTTCCAGAGGTTGACAGTGCGTTGCGTGAAAAAATACTTTTTTGTGCTTGTTTTAAACCTGCTACCTATTAATTTCATTTGGTGGCCCCTTGTTCTTGTATAATGAGAAGGAGTAAATAACACTTCCTTATTTACTTTCTCTATACCACTCATGATTGTATAGACCTCTATCATATCCCCCCTTAGTTGCCTCTTTTCCAAGCTGAAAAGTCCCAGTCTTATTAATCTCTCCTCATACAGAAGCCGTTCTATACCCCTAATAATTTTTGTTGCCCTTTTCTGAACCTCTTCCAATTCCAATATATCTTTTTTGAGATGGGGCGACCACATCTGTACACAGTATTCAAGGTGTGGGCGTACCATGGATTTATATAGAGGCAATATGATATTTTCTGTCTTATTGATGATTCCCAACATTTTGTTCACTTTTTTGATTGCCGCTGCACATTGAGTGGATGATTTCAGAGAACTATCCACAGTTACTCCCAAGATCTCTTTCTTGAGTGGTAACAGCCAATTTAGACCCCATCACTGTATATGTATAGATAGGATTATGTTTTCCAATGAGCATTACTTTGCATTTATCAACATTAAATTTCATCTGCCATTTTGTTGCCCAGTCACCCAGTTTTGTGAGATCCTTTTGTAGCTCTTTGCAGTCTGCCTGGGACTTAACTATCTTGAGTAGTTTTGTATCATCTGCAAATTTTGCCACCTTACTGTTTACCTCTTTTTCCAGATCGTTTATGAAAACAGACGCTCCGCGGGTTACGCAAACCCGATTTACGCAAATCTGCACTTGCAGAAAAAGCTCCATAAGCTAGAAAGTTGGGGGGGGGGGAGTTGGTTTTTTGCGTAATGGTTGAGTATATGTTCCCGACTTACGCAAAATTCGAATTACGCAAGGCATTCCGGAACGGAACGCTTGCGTAAGTTGGGGAGCGTCTGTATGTTAAATAGGACTGGGCCCAGTACAGATCCTTGGGAGACACCACTATTTACCTCTCTCCATTCTGAAAACTGACCATTTATTCCTACCCTTTGTTTTCTATCTTTTAACCAGTTACCAATCCATGAGAGAACCTTCCCTCTTATCCCATGACTGCTTATTTTGCTTAAGAGCCTTTGGTGAGGGACCTTGTCAAAATCTTTTTGAAAATCTAAATACACTATATCCACTGGCTCTCCTTTGTCCGCATGCTTGTTGACCCCCCCCCCCCCCCCGCCAAAGAATTCTAGTAGATTGGTAGGCATGGTTTCCCTGTACAAAAACCATGTTTACTATTTTCCCAACAAATTATGTTCATTTGTGTCTGACAATTTTGTTCTTTACAATAGTTTCAACCAATTTGCCCGGTACTGAAGTGAGGCTTACTGGTCTATAGTTGCCAGGGTCACCTCTGGAGCCCTTTTTAAAAATTGGTGTCACGTTAATTATTCTCCACTCATTTGGTACAGAAGCTGATTTAAATGATAGGTTACAGATAATAGTTAGTAGTCCTGCAATTTCACATTTGAATTCCTTTAGAACTCTTGGTTGAATACCATCAGGTCCTGGAGACTTATTACTGTTTAATTTATCAATTTGTTCCAAAACCTTCTCTAATGACACCTCAATTTGGGACAGTTCCTCAGATCTGTCACCCAAAAAGAATGGCTCAGGTTTGGGGATCTCCCTCACATCCTCAACAGTGAAGACCGATGCAAAGAATTCATTTAGTTTCTCCGCAATGGCCTTATTGTCTTTGAGTGCTCCTTTAGCATCTTGATGGTCCAGTGGCCCTACTGGTTGTTTAGCAGACTTTCTGCTTCTGATGTATTTTAAAAAAAAATTGCTATTACTTTTGAAGTCCTTGGCTAGCTGTTCTTCAAATTCTTTTTTGGTCTTTCTAATTATATTTTTATACTTCATTTGCCAGAGTTTATGCTATTTTCTATTTTCCTCATTAGGATTTCTCTTTTTAAAGTTTTTAAAGGATGCCTTTTTGCCTCTCACTGCTTCTTTTCCTTTCAACAACTACAGCTATTTCTTTTGTTTAATAACTCAGTTTTAAATGCAAATCATGTTTTGATAAATTTTTTTCCTTATGTATCCTCCACATTTTAGTTTTATTTAACTAATAAAATTAAAAAGCTGTGTGTATGTATTTTTACTTGAAGTCCCATTTCCACTCAAGTCAAGCTTAAAATAAATCACAAGTAAAAAAAACCCATAATCACCAAGTAAATAAATACACTCTTCATAATTTTTGGACATAAAAAATTTAAAAATTTTAATAAATGTAAATTATGCAGTATAATTTCTTAAATAAATATAGATAGATGTGGTTAGCATAAAGAAGTGTCAAATTTCATGTAAATGCTACCTTTAGTTGTCAATCAACATGTTTTAACGGTTACCCCCTAATGAGAAACAACTTTTCTTTAGAAAAATAACTCAAAAGTATAAATGCAAATCAAGACTCAATTATTGAAATCAAGGTTTTCTGCATGCTGGTTAAAATCATGATTAAAACTGGTGACTTAAAATCAGTCCATCCTATTGCAATACTCTGATGCAAGGAAACAAGGGATGTGTTTGAAACCTGAATCCCTACATAATATAATTTTATGATTTCTCTCTTCATCACTTAGGCTCCCTGGATTTAGCAGTCACAAGACACTGTTTTTGTGAAAACTGAAAGACTCAATAGTGACAGTCTATACAATTTAATAGAAAACATTTTCAGTTGAATTTTTAAGTGTGCCCCTCCACCTACCCAATGCTGAATAACTTGCTGATTGGGCCCACTAAGGGGCAGTTCCACAGTAAATAGAAATTAGATATTTATTGTATCTATTGAATTAGTTCTCACACTGTGACTGCAACTGTACTACTAAAACAAAGTAGGCCTACCAGTCTCAGGCTTGATGTATAGTTACTAGGGCGTTGGGAATTTTTTTTCTTCTTTCTGGTCATCTTCCATACCTATTAATGTCTTGTTTTTTTCTTATTTTAAAATCTCATACTCAGAGGCCTGCACTAAGGATCACAATATTTTTGTTGAACTGGTTAGGACTTGTCAATGCTGCACAAGTCTCGCCAGTAGGTTAGCCAGTTACCTCTGTAATCCATTCAGCAAATACCTTGGCTTCCAGTTCTTCTGCTTCAAAAGGGAAAACTGAATACAGGTCTGCTATATGTACCCAGAACAACCCAGCTCTCTCACCTGCAGCTTTATTACTGAAATTACTTTTGGACTAGATGACCTCTTGAGGTCCCTTCCAACCCTGATATTCTATGATAAGCCACCTGGAATGTCCAATCAGTTATTACACATACTAGAAATGGGCCTGAACTAAAACTCTAGATGGGATCAACCTTGAATGTTGAAGAAAGTTTCCATCAATGTCTGCTGTGGTGTTGCTTTAACATCAGACTGCAACATCACAGGTGCTTACTTACTGCAATTTTCCCAAGATCTATGCCATAATTCAGCGCACTCCATGAACACTGTTTAAAGTTCGGTGTCCAAGACTCCTCAATGCTTTCTCGCATACATTCTCCTTTTTCTCCTTTCAACCCATCCCGACCAGGGATTCCAGGTGTCCCAGGAATTCCATTGATGCCAGGGTTTCCATCTCGTCCAGGAACACCACCAGGTCCTTGTAAACACATTCCATTGTACTGAAAAACACAAACTTTTTTCACACTTTGCTTATTGATTCTAAGGCTTAAAAATAGTGTTGCTTACTTTGTACAAGATAGGAGTCTGTTATAGAAGGCCATGAAAAGTCCTCTATGGCAAGAAATCACATTTCCTCTCAAATACTGAAAATTAAATGAATATGTTAAAACTGGCAGCTGAGTTTGCTGTTATTGGGGTATCAAAGATAGATGCAGGGCGGTAGTTTCATTAATAGAAAATATTCATTTATGTTAACTACAAAACTGCATGGAAAAGTGTACAATATCCCCTACCTTCCAAAAAAGTTTCCCCAAATTCCAATATTAATATGGTCAATTGTTGGCCTCAGACTATGATGGTACATTTTGCTTTCACATTTGAATAGGGTGACGACAGCAAGTGTGAAAAATCGGGACAGGGGGTGGGGAGTAATAGGAGCCTATATAAAAAAAAGACACAAAAATCGGGACTCTCTCTATAAAATTGGGACATCTGGTCTCCCTACATTTTAAACAACTAGACTATGATATTTAATAGTGTAAACATAACATTTGGGAGAGAGGAAGATGAAACTCAGATGGGACTATCTCTTCTCTGCCTTCAATCCCCAAACTATTCTTTGGACCCAGAGCTGTGCAGGGTGGACCCCAGGCAGTTCCACCAATCCCCCACCAACGCAAGCTCCAGGGAATAACTCCAGGGAGGAGACAATTTGGGGGGTGCAGACAAAGCCAGGAGAAGCAGACATAGAAGAAGCTGCAACAGGAACCTTCAGACACTGCTGATGTCCACTACATTTTTTATCTTGAACATTCTTTCCCATCTGCTGACTGGGTGCTTATTCCAATCTTCATCCCTCCACTGAGCCCTGGTCTATGCTACGGGGTTGGGTCGAATTTAGCCGCGTTAGGTTGATTTAAAAATGACTGCATCCACACAACCAGCCCCATTCCGTCGACCTAAAGGGCTCTTAAAATTGACTTCTCTACTCCTCCCCGACGAGGGGAGTAATGCTAAAATCGACCTTGCTGGGTCGAATCTGGGGTAGTGCGGACGCAAATTGATGGTATTGGCCTCCAGGAGCTATCCCAGAGTGCTCCATTGTGACCGCTCTGGACAGCACTTTGAACTCCAATGCACTAGCCAGGTACACAGGAAAAGCCCCGGGAACTTTTGAATTTCATTTCCTGTTTGGTCAGCGTGGCGAACTCAGCAGCACAGGTGACCATGCAGTCCCCCCAGAATCGTAGAGCGTAGAATGTTTCTACGCTCTCCCTATCATCTCCGTCCCTGAGGTTATCACAGATTAGAAGGCAAAACAAACGCATTTGCGATTACATGTTTTCAGAGCTCATGCAGTCCTCCTGCATTGATAGGGCACAGCTTAATGCATGGAAGCATTCAGTGGCAGAGGCCAGGAAAGAATTAAGTGAACGTGAAGAGCGGAGGCAGGACGCGATGCTGAGGCTAAGGGGGGAGCAAACAAACATGATGAAGTGTTTGCTGGGGGAGCAAACAGACATGATGAAGCATCTGTTGGAGCTGCAGGAAAGCCAACAAGAGCACAAACCCCTGCTGCATCCACTGTATAACCGCGTACCCTCCTCCCCATGTTCCATATCCTCCTCACCCAGATGCCCAAGAATGGGGGGGGGGGTGGAAGAAGGCTCCGGGCACCCAGCCAGTCCACTCCAGAGGATGCCCAAGCAACAGAAGGCTGTCATTCAAACAGTTTGATTTTTAGTGTGGCTACAATAAGCAATGTGGCCTTGTCCTTCTCTCCTCCCCCACCCCACCCAGGCTACCTTGTCCATTATCTCTTTTTTTTTTTTAATTAATAATTAACAGCAGCGGTGAGCTGAGTGGGCTCCATGCTTGCCGTGGTATGGCATCTGCATGGGTAACCCAGGAAAAAAGGCAGGAAACGATTGTCTGCCGTTGCTTTCACAGAGGGAGGGGCAACAGACGACATGTACCCAAAACCACCCGCGACAATGTTTTTGCCCCATCAGGCATTGGGAGCTTAAACCAGAATTCCAATGGGCAGTGGAGACTGTGGGAACTGTGGGATAGCTACCCACAGTGCACCGCTCCGTAAGTCGATGCTAGCCACGGTAGTGAGGATGCAGTCCACCAACTTAATGCGCTTAGTGGGGACATACGCAATCGACTGTATAAAATCAATTTCTAAAAATCAACTTCTATAAAATCAACCTAATTTCATAGTGTAGACATACCCTGAGTCTCTTCACCTCCTATTGTCCTTGCCCTGCTCTTTTCTCACCTTCTGTCTCATGCTTATCTCCCTCCCTTGTGTCCTTTTATTCAATTAATCCCCACCCACCAAACCCTAATCAAAACCAAATTGAACGAGAACTATGCAACTACCATGATACCTTCAAATCATAACATTGCTCCTGCTTGTATGTTATATTCCTTCTTCCCTTCCCTTTGTCTGACTTGTCTATTTAGATTATAAACTCTTCAGGGCAGGGACTGTCTCTTAACCTATATTTAGATAGTGCTTAGCATAACAGGGCTGCCCCACTGTGATACAAATAATAAATACATAAAATGGAAAGTCCTGCTAAGGAAGTAAATTGAGATCCAGAATAATGAACTTTTGACATTTCCTACAATATTCAAAAAGAAAGATGCACTGTTGGCAAATGCAGTAATAAGAACATGCCAGTGAAACATTTGATCAAGGAGCAGATCTTTTAAAAGGCCCAGTGAATATTAGTCTGGTCTCAGAGGCCCCTACAAAACTAATAAGCAAGACACAGTTATGTGAAGACATCTTAATTTCTTACAGTACTGCTTGTACCAATTCATTTGATACATTTTGCCTCTGCCTAGGAACCAGACGTGCTGCTGGCCGCTTCCGGGGCACAGCGCGGTCCATGGTGCCAGGACAGGCGGGAAGCCTGCCTCTGCACCCTGGCTGCGCCACTAACTGGGAGGCACTGGAGGTAAGCCCATGCCCCAACCCCCTGCCCCAATCCGGAGCCCCCTCCCAAACCCCTCATCCCCGGCCCCACCCCAGAGCCTGCATCCCCAGCCCAGAGCCCTGACCCCCTCCCGCACTCCAACCCCCTGCCCCAGCCCTGAGCCCCCTCCTACACGCTGAACCCCTCATTCCTGGCCTCACCCCACAGCCCTCACCCCCGCACCCCAACTCTCTGCCCCAGCCCTGAGCCCCTCCCACAGCTCAAACCCCTCATCCCCCGCTCCTGGGTCGCCAGAAAAAAAGTTTGAAAACCAATGATATAGAGCAGTATAAACAAGTCATTGTCTGTATGAAATTTTAGTTTATGCTGAATTCGCTAGTGCTTTTTATGTAGCCTGTTGTAAATCTAGGCAAATATCTAGATGAGTTGATGTACCCCCTGGAAGACCTCTGCTTACCCACAGGGGTATATGTACCCCTGGTTGAGAACCACCACTTTAACTGACCTGTAAAAAGCAACAGAGAGTCCTGTGGCACCTTTAAGACTAACAGATGTATCGGAGCATAAGCTTTCGTGGATGAATACCCCACTTCGTCAGACACATGCCTGACCTGGACATTTTAGTTTTAGATTCCACCAGGGGGCAGAGCTAGCCAAAAAAAGGGTGCTCCAAACTGATCTAACATTAAAGAAATTTTGAATATTTCCAGAGAGGGTGGTTTAAACTTTTGCAGACCTAGAAACTCACATATTCAAAATAATTACATGGGCTTTGGTCTCCTCTTCAGCCAAACCGATCTGTACTCACCAGATCAATTATTTTCACATATGGTATGCTGCTTTTGAAGTGGAATGAGCATATTGTTGTAAAATGACAATGTTGTGTCTGTTGAAGCAAGGCGGCCCCTTGTCATGTTTTTGGTTCTATTTTTGAAGGAGTCTGTGTCAAAGTTATTTTAGCTGACACAGTTAGTATACATCTACTTAAGTATGTTTCCTTAGCTTCCACCAATTTATCTGAGTTATAGATCTCAGCCAGCCAAGGCTGAAAAGCAGGATGCAGTGCCAGGCAAATACTCAAGATGAGGAACACAAAAATATTTGTTCATACAGAAAACTTAAGATGTGGGATTCACTCCTTTAATTTCCCATAATCTCAGATTCATTATTCCTTATTTTTTATATAAAAAATGTCCAACAATGAAAGTGAGATGGCACCAAAGCTATGTGTAACACAGGTGGGTTTAGGATTGAAACTAGTGATAGCCCTCAAACTGAAGTACATTTGAAGGGTATGATCTAGGTACATCTGCTGACAATGCCATCTACATACCAAAAACAGCAGCATCCTCTCCATCCTAAAAAAATATAGTTGTTAGTGAATACAAGTGTGGGATCCCTGCAAAGCCTTACCTTTGTCTGGAGGGAAGAAAAATCCATGCCATTTATTTTCTATGGCTCTATATAGCCTTCAGTGCATCTGTAGTTGCAATGAAACAGAATCCAGAAATGTGCCATGTATAAGCACCAGTGTGAATTTGTTTACACATGGGAAAGTGGGATTTAATAAAATGAGAGTTTTTCAGTGCTTGTGGCTCTTTAGTTTAAAAGTAACCTTTTTTCTTTATCTTGTCCTTTATTTACTATTCTAGTTTAGTTAATCAGGGCTTAAAAATTTCAGTTTTGCATAGGTGATGTCTTAGTAAGGAAGGATAGCAGTTCACAGTCCACTCTTTTTTATTGAAACAATCCAGCCACATTAACTTGGCCTTGCTTCCTCATGCGGACATGACTGGAGAGAAGGGTATGTATTACTTTAACCACAGACTCCTGACTCTGCTATGTAAAAATCTGAGGAACACAATCTGCATCTGGAAAGAAATAGCTTCCATGAAGACAAATCCATTCTAAACATTTCCCTGAATCATCACAATTAGTGAACAATAAAATGTAGAAAAGAAGCTAAATCAAATTACTCATCCTTCCTGCAAAAATGACCCAGCATAACTGAGACTATGGTCAGATCTTCAAGTTACAACTGGGTTTGGGAAAGGGGAACTGTCCTGGCTGGCAGAAAGGAGCTGTTCTCCCAACAATAGACACGTTGCAGAGACTGGCCCCTAGAGCTGCACTAGCCTCTTCCTGGGATAAAGCAAAGGAGAGGATTGGGTGGTTCCAACCCTTTGAACGAAAAAGCAGCGGGGAAGATTCTCCAGCAGCTCCTCACTTGTTACTGTCACCTCAAATCCACAACATCACTCCCAACCTTGTCCACCAGCTCCCCCCACATCAGACCCCTCTGTCCCCAGGCCCCCACTCCAGCCCTCCTAACCCCTCTCCAGGCCCCCTCTGCCCCCAGGCCCTCACGCCAGCCCTCCTAACCCCTCTCCAGGCCCCCTCTGCCCCATCATCTACTCTTAGCCCCACTACAGCCCCTCCCCAGCCCCCTCTGCTCTGTCCCTCTCTCCAGAGTCTCCCGCTGCTCCAGACCCCTCCATTCCCATCCCCTATTTCCGAGCCGCGTGCGGCGCGGGCAGACTCACCACGTCCACCACCTCCCTCTGGCGCAGCGCCTTGTGCTTCCCCTTCGGGCTCTCGGACTCCCCGAGCGGCGGGGCAACCAGCAGCAGCGCGGCCAGGAGCAGCGAGGCGGCGGCGGCGGCAGTGACGGGCGGAGAGCGCATGGTGCGGGGCAGCCGGGGGCGCGGGGCCGGGCTGTCTGGGAGCAGAGCTAGCGAGGGGGGGGGATGAGTCAGTGTCTGCAGCGCCCCGCAGCAGCGCGCTGGATAAATGAGCCTTTCACAGCCCGAGCCTGAGCTCCCTCCCTGGGGACGCCAGGAATTTCCATCCTGTAACACGGCAGCAACTCCCAGCCTGAGCCGTCCGGCCACAGCCACAGGCCCGCCGGGGCTTCCCGCCCCCGCATTGCCCGCCGCTCCCACGCCAGCCTCAGGCACCCCGCAGCCGGCACTCACAGGGTAAGTGTGCTGGGGCTGTGTGCCCCGACCCTTAGCACTGGCAACATACAATTGTGCCATGCAGCCCCACTTCCTGGAGTCAACTGTACTGCCTGTGCCACTGACCCGTAGCACTGGCAACATACAACTGTACCGCCTGTGCCACTGACCCGTAGCACTGGCAACATACAACTGTACCGCTTGTGTCACACAGCCCTCCTCCCTGGCTTCAATTGTACCGCCTGTGCCACTGACCCTTAGTACTGACAACATACAACTGTATCACCAGTGCCACGCAGCCCCTTTCCCTGGTGTCAACTGTACTGCCTGTGCCACTGACGGTTAGCACTGACAACATACCACTGTACAGCCTGTGCCACACAGCCCTTTTCCCTGGGGTCAGACGAGTGTACCACCTGTGCCATGCAGCCCCTTCCCTGGGGTCAGTCAACTGTACCGCCTGTACCATGCAGCCCCCTTCCCTGGGGTTAGTCAACTGTACTGCCTGTGCCACGCAGCTCTCTTCCCTGGGATCAGACAACTATACCACCAATACCATGCAGCCCCCTTCCCTGGAGTCAGACAACTGTACTGCCTGTGCTACACAGCCCCCTTCCCTGGAGTCAACTGTACCCCCTGTGCCACTGACCCTTAGCACTGACAACATACAACTGTACCACCTGTGCCATGCAGCCCCCTTCCCTGCGGTCAGACTACTGTTCTGCTTGTGCCACACAGCCCTTGTCCCTGGAGTAAGACAACTGTACCACCTGTGCCACGCCACCCCCGTCCCTGTGGTCAGACAACTGAACTGCCTGTGCCACGCAAACTACGGCCCCTTCCTGTGGGGTTGAACAACTGAACTGTCTGCGCCACGCAGCCTACTGCCCCTCATGTGGAGTCAAACAATTGAACCATCACCTGGAGTCAAAAAACTGAACCGTCAGCACCATGCAGCCTACAGCCCCTTCCATGGAGTCAGACAACTGAACCATTTGTGCCACACAACCAAAACCCCTCATATAGAGTCACACAACTGTACCATCTGTGCCATGCACAGGCATACACACACACCCCACACGGAGTCAAATAACTGTACTGTTTGTGCCATGCAACCAGCACTCCTTCACATGGAATCATGCAATTGTACCAGCTGCGCCACAAAATCTACAGCCCCTCACATGAAATCAGACAACTGTACCATCTGTGCCCAGTGGTGCCGGAATAAGAGGTGCCAGGAGGCCATGGCCCTCCCACTTTTTGAAAGTGGACGGGCCTGGCCTGTCCATTTTTTGGTGGGGGCCCCACCCCTGCACCTCCTCTTCGCCGCCCCCACCCAAGGTTCTGTCCCCCGCCCCCGGCCAGGCCGGCAGCTGTGGGACACTGTGGACCCTCCACCTGCCCGGGGTAGGGTGTGGTCGAGATCAGCCCCCAGCCCGTGTCCACACCCCATGGGCTTCCCTTCTCCCGCCTAGGGCGGGAGGGTCTGCAGCTCCCCACAGCTATCCATGCATAGCTCTTACCTGGACCCAACTCTGGCTGGGGGGCCATAGTGCGGCCATGGTGAGAGCCACGCGGGCAGGCGTGGGGCTACACTGTGGACCCTCCACCTGCCCTGGGCAGGGGGCCGGTGGGGCAGGGACATGGGCCAGGGGCTGCTCTTGACCCTCCCCACGCCTGGCAGATGGAAAGTCGGCAGCTCCTGGCCTGCTCTGGCTTCTGGCTTGGCCGGGGGGTGTTGCCATGGACTTAAGGGGTGTGTATATTCCAGAATGTAATTAAGTGAATTGCAGCCATATTATGTGCATTCAGCCACCATATAGTAATGAAATAAAACACCACATAGTTGAGGGTTAATTTAAAGACAGGCTTTCAGAAGCAAGGTCAAAACTAGTTAACAGCTTCTTCTAATCAGAATGGGAGGAGGGGACAGACAAATAAACAAGTGAAACTAAAAACCTTGGTGGTTGGAAAACCTTGAGTCTGGGCTCCTCTGATACTAGAAGTTTATTGAACATTAGGAAAAGTAATAATTCAGTACTGGTCATTGTAACTAAGGCTTAGATTTTGTCACGGATATTTTCAGTAAAAATCATGGACAGGTCACAGGCAATAAACAAAAATTCACTGAAGCCCGTGACCTGTCCGTGATTTTTATTAAAAATATCCCTGATGAAATGGGAAGCGGGGGGGGGGGGGAGGGGTGTGTGTCCAGCACCCACAGCGGCTGGGCTGCTGCAAGGTCCAATCCCTGCCCTGGTGACTGAGCAGCTGCAGTGGCTCCTGCCGACCCCCTCAGCTGGGGTGCTGTGGGGGGGCTCCCGCCGCCCACTGCAGCTGGGCTGCAGCAGGGTCCCCCTGCCCTCCCCTGCCATTCGCCATGGCTGGGCTGCTTTGGAGCAGTCTTCTGAAGCCATTTTGAAAGACATTTTTCCTGGCACCTTTGCTCCCCGGTGGGTGAGCAACTGGCCACTGCAAACCTGCTGTTAATTACTCAATAGCGTTCCAGATGTTAGATAAATATCTGGGATGTTCTAAACCTATTGCTTATGTCTGTGTGTGCTTAAATCTAATACACTACAGTATTAGACAAAGCACGCTTACTTGCATTTAATCCTTAATCAGACAGAATTGCTGTGTTCCTATTGATTTATTCCTGATACTGTCTGGAGTGAAATAGTTAAGTTACCACTGTTAGGGGTTCTGAAAACCCAGGGGCAGAAGAGGAGGGGTGGGGATGGAGGCCCCTGGCCCTCCCATATTTGGTCAGGCTCTGCCACCCTTGTCTGTGCCACTCAATTAAAACATACAATGGTATTCATGAACTAATTCTGAAAATAGGAATGATCTTATGCAAATTCATATTTAGACACCATTTTAAAAATAGATTTATGGAGTTGTTACTGTCCTGTGAATCAATATGGCTGCCATGCAGAAAATAGATTAATCCAGAAAATTGCCACGTAGGCCTATATTTGGAAGATGCTTTATACGTTTCAAATCTCATTCATTGTTCTATCATTTGTCTGACAACCCTGGAGATCCCACTATTATAACCCTCCTTTTAAACCTTTGTGGCCCTGTTTTACAGTTAGTATCTTTCTGGTTAAGGAGCTGTTTATCCAGGAACTCTCAGAACAGTTCTACAGAAGGCAGAATGATGCTATTTTAGCTACAGCAAAGATTCCCAGCAGAGGCATAGTGTGGCATGAGTATCACTACTTTTGAAAATACTATCTAAATATAAATGTTTAGATGACAGGATCTATTTCATTTTAACAGGTGTGGAGCATAGAGGACACAAAATCTTTTTTCCCAGCAGAAGAAAATTAGACCTTTATGAAATAACATTATATTGCCTCTCACTGAGTACTTTTGATCTTGTACTCAAGGAAATGCCACAATACTAAGAACTACAACCAATATAATTAATCTCACACTGCATTAATTAAAATAATAGTTTATTATGAAGTCATATTAGAAATAAAATCAATCCAAAATAAATTATGTTATTTGTTGCCATTGATTAGGACTGGAAGAGTCAGACAGTTACTTGAGAGATAACCCATGCAGACATCAGCCTGAGTAGGATTATAGAGGTAAGGTTTCCACAAGGATGAAATATTCTTGAATATTTCACATTACTATTTTGTATTCATATGTGTGAATGCCTGTGTGCAAGGCTTTTTAAGTGAGAAGACCATTGCATCTCGCTCTCTCAGCTGCTGAAGTCAAAGACTAGTGGCACAAAAGGTCGCAAAGACTGGGAATTTCATTAGCTGCAGTAGATAGCCATTGACATGTTTTGTGCCTTGTCAAGCCTTACGTACTCAACAATATGTTGTTGCAGTGCCTTTCCAACCATTGGATCAATAAGTCTCCTCCACCCAGTCTGCCAAAACGGATTTAGTATGTTGGGGGTAGGCATTTCCCCTCATGGCTACCCTCTACCTGGTTTATCCTACCAGTTGAAATTCATTTAGATACTCAGTGCCGGCTGTGTTTGGACATTGCTCCTGGGAGTCTCTGTGCTTTATTTTCATGCAAGAACAACCATCAGAGAGAGAGAGAGAGTGTGTGTGTGTGTGTGTCACTCAGACATTCTCCCAGGCTCCTTGCTGGCTGAAATGTCTCCAGGAAGCATCAACTTGTCAGAGGCTCCGGTGAAGAAACAAAGCTAGACCTCATATGGCAGTCCACGTACAATCAGTGCCAAATGGGGTGGTGATTTTGTGATGTATGCTCCACTGGGAAGTGGACTGAAACTTCCAACTCACTTCACAATGGCCAAACAACAGCTAACAGATAGTAATGACTTGGGACTACTACTTCCTTGGACCAGCTATGTACATTTATGGCATTAAATAATGCTTAATAATATTTGCATCCATGGTTGAAGTAAATGTTTCCATTGTGAACTGTGTTATCCTCATCTATTTTTGAGACCCTTGAGATCTAAAACCACTAACTCTTACAGAAAATTTTCCTTACTATGAGGACACCCCCAAGAACTTTTTTATAGTGAAGGAATTGACTGTTTCCACTAGTTGTAGCATGCACTCTATTTATTTAATGAACATTGGATGTTTTTGAGCATTGAGCGAGAAAAGTGAGTCAGCGAGGAATAGTGTAGGAGATGCTGCAAGTTCCAATAAGTATGCCTGTAGTAAAATCCCCAGTACTCATTTGTCTGCCATTCTGGGTTGCCATCTGGAAGAAATTAAGGTAGACATAGTCCCAAA